CCTTGTTCCCTTTCCCTTCAGCTGGAGAGTTTTTAAAAAGAACCTTCCCCCTTTTGACAGTCTCTTAGATGGTATCAAAGACGGTGATAACTGTTCTGGGGAGAGGAGAAGACGTTAGCTGAGATGGGCTAGTGCTGCTGTTATCGTCCGATCCTGTTTCCTAAAAGGCAAAACAAGACAAACACCCGCAAGGGGAGAGAAGAGAACAGCAAAGAGGAAATGCAGCTTCTGTCTCTGGTGCTGACTCTCACTTGCAGCCTCACTGCTGGAGAGACTCAGGCCCAGCACAAGGTCTGATCGGCCACTCTGAGACCTGACAAACTCAGAACAGCATTGGTCTGGTTAGGGCATTGCATTCCCCTGCCTCCCTGGTCACAGGCTCACAGCTGTGTTACAACATGTACAGTCTTGGCCGGCTGCCCAGACTCTTATTAGACAGAAGGTAAATGGAGAAGGATGGGGAGGGAAGAAATAAGGTGGGGAAGGAAAGGGACACCCAAGGGCGATGGGGAGATGAAGTCTCACATCCCAAGTGGTGTTCAGGACTCAGCCAGAGCTGGTGTGATCTGGGTCCTTCTCTCTGGCCCGGTCTGGTCAGGCCAGGACATCTCTCAGGGTCCGAACGACGGTCCCAGGAGACGGGGTGGGGGGCAGCCAGGACAGTGAAGCTGGCTCTAGTAGGCAACTTGTCTCCCAAAGTCTCTTTCTTTAAGGATGCCAAAGGGAGCAGTGGGTGGAACAGCCCCTCCCCTCCTTGTTTTGTCCACCAATTAGGCCTAATTTCCAACACACCAATTCCGACTCCTTGACTTCCATCCCACACATCTCTTGTTCACCAGGCAAAGCCTTAACACAGTCCTTGAGTTATATCTAGAGCCCTACCAAATTCACGGTCCATTTTGGTCAATTTCATGGTCATAGGATTTTAAAAATTGTAAATGTTATGATTTAAATCTATTTAAATCTGAAATTTCACGGTGGTGTAATTGTAGGGGTCCTGACCGAAAAAAGGAGTTGTGTGTGTGGGT